CTTTTCAAACCCGTACGGGTTTGTGAACAAACTGATACAACGCCTCCAGTGCCACCATAACTGTTGTCTCAAACTACGATGAGCGTGAGCTCATTCCCAGTGTCTGAATCAAAATTCGGAAAGGGGTCTGAAGAAAAATCAGTATACCTTCTGTCGCCGTCTCTGCCGGATGGAAAGAGAGGAAATCGTCGAATTAACACCGCGGGCAGCGTCAAATGTAACAGCAAGAGGAAACCGATCACCACGGGTCTCATTACGATGAATCTTTTCTTTTCTACTTATATAAAGCGAAAGTAAAACAAATCCAAATCCTACACACGGAACAAAGGAAAGGAATCAAACAAAATAAAAACAAATATAAACAACACCAATACAATTTGTATAAACACAGCTGATACAGCGCGATTGTTCCCTGTCCGATATGGCTTTGTTTGTCATCATGATCGACAAAAACGCGGATGATGTTGGATGGTTGTGCCGTACCTAGGGTGAGCTATGGTGGGGTCAGGCACGTGTAGTGATGTATATTTTTTCAGTATTGAACTTCAGTGCCACGCACTCAACAAGTTGACAAATGTATATTTAACCTGAACAGCCGTAGGGCTGAATGGAAGAGAACCGAAATTTTATTTAAAAAATAATTCCTAAGCTTCAGACAGATGGCAAAACTATTTCCAAACAAGAAGATATTCTAAGATGAAATATATTTTTTCATAAAAGACAGATTTAGGGAAGTAAAGGGTTGCAATTTGGACAATTTTCTTCAGGGTTGTAATGTTCCAAATTTAAAATTGAATCTTGGAGTCTTGAGGGTTAACTTTCAATAAACGAAGCAAGAAATGTTCCAAAAAATATGAAGAGTTTTCTTGAAACATCGTAATTTTTTGTTAGATCAGTATTTCAGTTTGGCAACTTTTCATTACACAAAGACAAGGTATGATAACTTGTATTTCCAAGGGAGATAAACTTCTTCAATTTATAACAAAAAAGGAGACATATTTCACATCTAAATACCACATACAAAATAGCTTCTGGGATTATCTCACAAAGATTTAGGAAAATTTTAAATAAATTAATAAATAGTGACCACACAGGTCTCAAGGCAGGGCGATATACAGGGGAAAATATGCGAACATCATATGATGTTATGCATAGAATATTCCTTGTATGCTACTCTCAATAGATTTTGAAAAACCATTTGATTCTGTCTCATGGGTGTTTATTGAAAACATTTTAAACACTTCATTCTAACGTTTATTCATCAATAAATCAAGGTGGTAGTATCTCTGCTCGTATCAACATCCCACGCGGATGTCGTCAAGGCAACCTAATTGCTTCATATATCTTTATTCTGTTTGTAGAAGCACTTGCTGCAAAAGTGAGAGGAATGAGAATATTAGCGGATACAAGTGGAAATGTACCTTTTTTGAATTTACAGTATGCAGATGAGACTGGTTCAGTGCTAGATTGTTCACAAATATCCTTAAGGGAGTCCGTTAATGAATCAAACAGTCTCGGGACTTAACAACATTACTGATAAGACAAAAGTTGTAGGTTTGGTTGTAAAATGTACAGCAAAGAAACGTTTTACCAGAATTGATCATATAATGGGGAAAACTAGGTTCCCTTTTTCAGGAATTGACTTTTCTGTTGACTTGACTGGGATCCCTAAGTTGAATTATGATAATTTTTTAGTGACAATCAAGTCTTCAATTAATGCACGGAAAAAGCGGAATTTGACTCCTATTGGTAAAATGAATGTCATAAAATCTTTCTTGATATCTCAGCTCTGTTACATATACTTGTTTATTACTTTACTGAACCCTTCAGAGAAATATATTTGTAAACTTAATTCTCTTATTTTTATTTTCATTAGAATGAAGTGCCACATCAGATAAAAAGAGATGTTATTTGGATATACGGGGTTTAAAAAAGATTGATGCTCAAGCTTTCATGGGATCTCTTAAACTTGGATGGGTTCGCAAGTTATCTAAGTCAGATGGAAAGTGTATTGTACTCCTTAACACTATGATAGACCAGAAGAAGTTGCAGAATTAAGCAATGCTTTTATTCATTTATGTAGCTCCTCCCGTGCTAATAAATTCTGTGTTCATAACTGGGAAAAATGAACTAATCACACTCTTTATGAGGGATTTAATATATCGTGATTCTATTGTGAGAACTTCTATCTGGTACAATAATGATATACAAATTGGTAATAAATTCATTTTTTACCAACACTGGTTTAATATAGGTTATTTACATTAATAACTTGATTAAAAATCCGGTAAGTCTTATTTTTGATACACTTCAAGAAATTCTTAGTCTATATAGAGTTGACACAAACTTTTTCCAATACCATGACTTAGTACCGACAGTAAAAACGTTTTTTGAGAAATTTGAATTCCAGATGGCGAAACCATCCCAACCTTTTATACACTGCCAATGGAAATATTTCATAGAAATAAAAAATAAATCATTACACCAGCATCAGTGCCAACAGGTACACACATATGGAGGAACTCTTTTTTCTTTGATTTAGTGAAATGGAAAAATATTTTTGAAATTCCCTTTAAAGTCTCACAGTTACATTGGTTTCAGGTCGGAATTATACACCATATACTTTCTTTTTAAAATAAGAGTCTCTCCAGATAAGTTATATACATGTACCTTAATACACTGCTAATGGGAATGTAGAGAAATGCAAGTGTTATTACAGGAATTTGAAAATCTTCTTGATATTCTGTGTATTGATTTTCTTTAAGAAATAAAGAAAAAATTCAAGTTAGAATCATATCAACACATGCCAGTTCAGTTGATCATGAGATCTTTATTCTAATCAAACATTGTATTTATCAAACTAGATGTATCAACAAAGCTGTACATCTTGATGCTCATCTTAATGCCATTCAAAAGTTTTCAAACTGAAAAGCAAAAAAAAAAAAAAAAATTCGGTTGAGGGATTAGAATCAACCACAACACAGCACTAATCTAAAGATATTTATGCAGATTTAAACTAACTGTAAAAACATATACAATAGATCAGAAGAACAATAAAAATAAAATAAATTGTGAATGAGTATGACCTTCAATATCTTTACAGGTCTGAATACATTTATAATGAATGTGTTTTTCATATGTGTGTCTTTATGTACAATTGTCTTCTAAGGGGATATTATGCCTAATTGGAGATTACATTAAGAATTTTGGTTCGTCTCGTGTTAAAATGATGGGAATCATATAGTTTAGATTTAGTTATGATATATATATATATAGGTTACACGACCATAATCTCTGAACCTCTGCATTCAATATATAAAAAGTTTACACTTCCATTGTCTTTGAATCTCTTCATGACATCATGAGGTTACACGGCCATAATTTTATCTTTGAATAAAACAAAATGAGACTTGAATACCGAATACAAATGTAACGTGCTCTCCAGTGTTCTTGCATTCATATTAACATTGGATGTTTTCTTGACAAAAACAGACAAATATCGGAATGTTAGATTGGATTATGATTCTTTTAATAGATAAATTTAAGATTAAATCTATAATCACTTTTCAAACTGTGTGTTCTTACCTTCGTCACAATCTTTCACTCTTTATTCTTAAGTACTTACAACCTGGCGAGACCACATGTCTTTATCACGGACATAGATACATTGCAGATATCTGTATCATCTGATTTATCTGTGGTATGTATATCTCACATATTCTGAACTCATGAAGCATTAAACGATAGAATTATGGAAAACAATCTCTAACCTTTAATATTAGAAAATGTGTTACAAACCTTTCATAAAACCCACATAAATCTATCATTTATATTAGCATATAAAAATGATTTCTTATATGTGTTTGACAAATGATTCTAAAACCGTCTATAATTTACTGATGTCATAGGTAATGTATACTTTTGCATTCAAACTAGTGCTGATTTCTGACTATCACCAAAACGAGTGATCGCCAATAGCCAATAGCTTTTTTACAGATATTTCAAGGCTATCCCAGCTTGATAGATCCAGAAGTAGCACTCAAGAGCAGGTCTCTACTCACTTCTTAGTTCGCAAATCTATATAAAGTTAGTTAGTTTTACGTCTGAACGACACGGGAATAGTTGACGACAGACCGAAATTAGGACGTCCATGTGTAACTTCGGGACGACAAGATCGGTCCATTATGCTTGCCCACTTGTGTGACAAGATATTATACAGCAGCCGAAGCGACATGAAAAACCATTGGTAATGGAAACCGTCGAATCCATTCCAAAACTGTTTCCCATTTTCAGATATTGATATTTACGCGTACAAGAAATTTCATCTCCGTGGCAACGTGAAATGGCTGATTTATACAAACAGCTTTAAAAAGAAACTAAATGCAATTATGCAAATATAGTCTCGGTACGTGAATCGATGATTGATAACCAAGTTGTTATATAACACACGTGTCTCATTATTGTTCAGTTCATGTCTTTTTCACTGGTGGTAAGTGTCAGAAATACTATGCAAACTAGATTTAAAGAAAAGTTCATTCAAAATTCCATAAAAACTTGAAATTGTTATTTCATCCTTTATTTTCATCTTTACAAATATCTGTTTTATAATTATTTTTATAACTTTATTACTTTATTAACACAATGCTTAATGTGATGTGCTGTTGTATTAATACAACATACCTAACACATAGAATTGTTTTGATTTGAAGAAAAGCACAACTTTTTGTCAATAAGCAGTGAATACAGACAAAATATATCATTATTGTGTTTTCAATTCTGGAATTTAGGAAAGTTCACTGCTTTTCAGTGCACATAAGATATATGAAAACTCGGGGTGGTCTTCAGTTGTTTCAATTCGTTATTCCAAAATGTTTGAGTCACTTCTGTTGATTCGGGCAATAATGACTTTCCAAATATCTTCCAAAAAGGATGTTTCTAGTGTACCGAAGGAATACATGATGAACTGGTGTTTGTTATTGACAACAATCCTCCTTGTCCACATGGCGTCTAAAGGAGAGTCTACTGGAGATATAAATTCCCTGATACAGGCTATAAGAAATGCTATCGATTTGACTTTAAGAGAAGTCAGCTCCACATCGAATCTTTTCCAATCGGATGCAGGTAAAACGATGTTTTATTTATTTATGCTTTTGAAAATATTTGATTTATGTACATCCCTACTGATAAATAGTCAGCTAGTGCCGGATTTGTTTACTGCCTAAACTATATAAATTAAATATTATATGAAAAAGCAGCCGATTTAAAAACAAACTATATAGTGTTTGTACCGTCGCAAATTATTTTCATTATCCAACCAAAAGTTGTGTTACATCTCTTAAGAACAAAGATAAATATTTCATTACAGGTCTTAGTGATACTTTGCTTCAAATTTGAATTAAATCAACCGTATAATTGATTATTTTCTATTTATATAATTAAAATTAATATTTCAATTTCTCCTGTTGTTGTTGATTGCTTTTATTTATCTATACATTTTGCGATGAGATGTTATTTGTTTGCCGTTGTAAAACACACGATAAATTTCCAGGTTGAAATGACTTATTATGGCTTTTATTCTTATTTTACAGCTGCAAGATTTGCAGAATTAGAGAGAAAGACGCAGTTTCTAGTAATTGCCTTGGACAGAAACTCACAGTTAATACAGCGAGCTATGATTATCTTCGAACAAATGTAAGTCTTTTAATAACATAGAATTCAAAATCTTAAAATGTGTTACGTTTGATTCCATTTTTCTTGAACACGCAACATAAAACTCTCGTCGATGTTATTTTTACCTTATATAAACAAAGAGACTTGTATATCTTCAATGCCTACATACAATACCTGTTTCTTCGTTCTAACTCTCTAATTCATTGCGCCATATTATCATTCCATGTAAGTGGAAATCAAATAAGTTTTTTCTTTTGTCAGACCCCAGTTTTTCATTAAATTTACTCAAAAGAATCCATGCAACAGAAATAATGAAACGTGCAGATAGGATGTTTTCTTTTTAATTGTGTGGACTTTAAGGTACTGAGTTCAAGATAAGGATATTTGACTGTATGATATAAGGTACATCCATAATCTTATGACGACACAAGTAATGTTTAAAAGGAAGAAAAAAGTACCATCACTAAGCACTTCCATACATAAAAAGAATTTAAAAGATCAAATCGAAATTGGAGCAAATCAGAATAAAAATGCTACTTAAATTTATGATTCCTTTCTATCCGGATATCGTATTTAAATGACATTAAAATATATGATTAATTTTTAAACTGACATCGTGTTTTAATGATCTTAAAATATATGATTCTTTTCTGATCTGACATCGTATTTAAATGACATTAAAATATATGATTCCTTTTTAAATTGACATTGTGTTTTAATGATATTAAAATATATGATTCCTTTTTAAATTGACATTGTGTTTTAATGATCTTAAAATATATAATTCCTTTCTATCCGGACATTGTATTTAAATAATATTAAAATATATGATTCCTTTCTATGCGGTCATCGTGTTTTAATGATATTAAAATATATGATTCCTTTCCAACCTGACATCGTGTTTAAATGATATTAGAATATATGATTCCTTTCTATCTGGACATTGTATTTAAATGGTATTAAAATATATGATATATATTATACTATATTGAAATACTACTGCGTTTAACGCTTTCCTCTTCTAGATCAATGTAGACAGTCTAAACCACTCAATGCACGAAGTGATATATCAAATGACATGAACATTTGCCAGTCATTTTTGCAGTGTCTGAAAAACAGAATTGAGTTATGGTCTGGTAATTAAAATTACCATATTTAAATAATGTAAATTTACTCAAAGGTATAGAAGGTTGCTCGCTTACTCATGATCATAAGTATATCATCAATCATTACATGTGTGTGCACTGTTATTTTTTTTAACTATTTCAACGCTGTTTTTGTTCTAACCTGACAAATGTAATGATTATTTTTAAAATGCTAGACAAACTAGCAAGCAAACAAGCAAGCTAACAAACAAGCAAGCACACAAATAAATAAACAGCAGCCTGTAACTTATGTACAGAACATTGTTTTACTTTACAGAGTCTACCTATAAACTTTTTCCATATATAACCAAAAATAATTAAGAAAAAGAAATTCCATTTAAATATTGAGATGTTATGGAACACAAGTCGCTTTCTGATAATTACAGAGACTTCATATAATACATATATACAGGATTTTAATATATTACAAACATTCACAGCTATCAATATAATGAACTCCACTACATTTGAAAGTTCTCTTTTATATCGATAATGCTAATCTTTCTCATGCGAGTAGTGACTCTCTAATACAACTAGTGACTCTCTAATACAACTAGTGACTCTCTAATACGAGTAGTGACTCTCTCATACAAGTAGTGACTCTCTAATACAAGTAGTGACTCTCTAATACGAGCAGTGACTCTCTCATACAAGTAGTGACTCTCTAATACAAGTAGTGACTCTCTAATACGAGTAGTGACTCTCTCATACAAATAGTGACTCTCTCATACAAATAGTGACTCTCTCATAGAAGTAGTGACTCTCTCATACAAATAGTGACTCTCTCATACAAGTAGTGACTCTCTCATACGAGTAGTGACTCTCTCATAGAAGTAGTGACTCTCTCATAGAAGTAGTGACTCTCTCATACAAGTAGTGACTCTCTAATATAAGTAGTGACTCTCTCATACGAGTAGTGACTCTCTCATAGAAGTAGTGACTCTCTCATACAAGTAGTGACTCTCTGATACGAGTAGTGACTCTCTCATACGAGTAGTGACTCTCTCATACAAGTAGTGACCCCCATTCATGTAGTGACTCTCTCATACAAGTAGTGACTCTCTCATACGAGAAGTGACTCTCTCATAGAAGTAGTGACTCTCTCATACAAATAGTGACTCTCTTATACGAGTAGTGACTCTCTCATAGAAGTAGTGACTCTCTCATACAAATAGTGACTCTCTCATACGAGTAGTGATATATCATGAATGAGAAATCCACGAGTAACTTTAACGAATGACACACTGTGGCTGAATGACGCGCGTCATAAGATGCATCTGAGAAACTAAGTTTATTTTAAATAATATCTTTCCAACGAAATATTGTGAAAACGTTTTTTCTTACGAGATAAAAACTATTTTAATAATATGGTTAGCTAATTATAGTTATAAACATGAAATACGTAGTTTGTTGTCAGACGTGTTGAAATGGTAGGCTATTCGAAGTGATAGTTTATAGAGCAGGCAAACTGTGTGTTTACTCCCACAACATTGAAACGGATAGACACGAAACTAAATGGCAATGACGAGAAAAAAAGTATAAAATATTTGAATTGAATTTTTTTTTATTTGGTTATGGAATAATAACTATTATTGAACTTGTACAAGTTTTATAAACTTCGTCGGTTACCAGTATTCGATTGACCCGAGCTCACTTGTAGATATTTATTGAAACAGAAAAAAGAACGATAATCCTTAAACCTAAACTTTTTTCATCATAGATATAAAAAATATCAGTTCCTAATGTCTAAATACAACAAAGGATAATGGTGTGACCGATCACCTATAACTTTTGTTTGTTTCTCCATTAGAGCGAGAGTTTCCTGGATCGTCATATTGAAGAGTCCCATCTTGCTGATGGAATGGAGAACACGCATCGCTCCAATCTGTTCTATATCGCCAGTCAGATGTGACCCATTTACACCCTATAGAACAATTGAGGGCCAATGCAATAATTTGAATTTCCCTTTATGGGGAAGCAAGATGTCACCCCAGGAGAGGCTCATTCGGCCTTTCTACGATGATGGTATGGTGACAGATTTACAAATTTTAGATTTAGTCAATCTTCTCTTCATAAGATGTATTTATTTTGCATGTTCTGACACATGTTTTATAAACAATTGCAGACTCATTGCGGGCTGAAATTTCATGTTATAAAAATGAATTTATCATTGGTACTTTGTTTTATCTGCATATATAGACCCCGAGGAACGTACTAATGATTCATACTACAATTAATTGTAATAAATATTAATACGTTGACTTTCTACGAAATTATAGATGACCCAAGAAAACAAATTATTTTACAGAATTCAGATTATTTTTGATATGCTCTAGGGTTAAATTCTCCTCGTACAAAGTCGGTTGCGGGAGGAGACTTGCCCAATGCACGAGTGATAAGCAACGAGTTTCACAGAAACACAGGTCAAGCACCAGTTTTAAGCAAAATCTTCACAAACATGTTCTTTGCCTATGGACAGTTTCTAGATCACGATATTACATTAACCCCAGTTCTGAAAGGTAAGATTTTTTTTCTTTTGTTATGGCGATTTTAGCAAGAAATGACTGCAAATAAAACTAAAGGCAATAGTTATGACAATAACCCCCCCCCACCCCCCCAAAAAAAAGTTTTTCATAAATATGTCTGCTAAGTATGGATAGATTATGTATTGAAATTCATAAATGAATGATAAATATAAAGTAAATAAATAGATAAATAGATAACAGAACATATTTGAAACACTATGTCCGAAGGGGTAGCCATTTATGAATGGAAGGACATTTCTTGAAGTCATTATTTTCAAAACATCAAGGTGTAGGTGAACAACCGTAATATCGAGTAACGAATGTATGAGACAAGATATCATATGTCTTTCTAAAAGAGTATAAGATACTGATAGGTATGGAGACTATGTGAGTATGCAAGTAAAGCATATACATGTATTTAGGTTTGCCAAACCAACTGGAGTGTTTATATTGTCTTACTTCTATTTATATTTCGTTATCAAAATCCCGTAACTCTTGCAAACATTGAAGGATTCTGACCAATATTGAACCCATTTGTGATCTCATTAATATAAGGCAAAGACTTAACTTTTTGATCAAACCTGACAGTAACAATTAAAGATATTATACCGATACAAAGAGATTATCTTTTTTAAGGATTTTAAATCACGTAACTGGCAGATGTTGACTGATTTTGACGCATATTGAACTCATCTATTCAAATTTTTCTTTTTATTCAAATGAAGTAATATAAAAAATTCGACGGAAATCCTAAAACAGACAAACAGTAAGACAAACCTAAAACAATATGGCCCCCGATCTTCGATCTGGGAAGACATATACAATAAACAAAATAAGAAAGTGTGTGTTTTGAAATATTGATATTTTTTCTTGAAGATAATGACGGAAAAAACCTTGAATGCTGCAGAACAGGTGGTTTGACTGAGTAAGTGAGGTTAGGAATGCATTGAGTTGAGCACTAGACTGTATATTTATTAATGATAAACCGATGGCTATCAAATGTGTTGGTTGAATGATAAATGATACAATACTATGATGTCACACCGTGTCCATGGTGTTACAAGTGTTGTCATAGGGTCCTTGTAAGAAATCCAGAGCTTCCGGTTTCAATCTGGTAAAGTGCACTTTCATTTAGTTGTAACTCTTGTACACTCTCCCCCGCATCCTCTCTCTCTCGCACATCCTCTTTCTTATTTATCCTCGCCCTCTCTCACTCTATCTTTCTCTACCCTTTTTCTCTCTCTCACATCCCCTCTTTCCCCCATCCCTTCATTTCTCACACAACCTCTTTCTCGCTCACCCTCTTCCCTAAAACCTCCTCTCTCGCACATCTTTTTCTTCCCTCCCGCTCTCACTTCTATTCCGTCTCTCATCTTTTTATTCTCTCCCTTTCGTTACTAAAGGGCTCCAACGAAAACACAACCGTTAAAAGCAAATACCTGTAAATAAGTGGTAACCTACAAAAGTACTAACCTGTGATGTTATGTTACATTATAACATGATAGTATGGAGATGTTTACGTGTGTTTTGGGTAATTAAGGGATTATAAGTGGTGCGTTCTGGGGAGGAAATAACTTACCTGTGTTAGAGGTACTTGGCGTGAACTTTAAATATTGTCAAAATTAATTTATATGTGCCGGTATGAATTGTAAGAGTAAATGAAATAACTGTCAGTTTGAAAAACATGTGACGAAATTCTTCCACGGAACAATATTTAATCTTATCCTATGCATCGTAGACACCTGAAAAGATCAGTGTGTTTTGGGTATAATGTATAATGTAATGAATGACATTCGAAAATGATTTTTGCCATTTCCAACACAAGTGCAATATGTACCGCTCTATCGTCAAAAATCCCTTAGCACTTACTTCCTGTAGGTTTCCCTGATGTAAATGTTGGTTGTTACAGTGTGCTACCACATCGGACAGAAATATTCCAATGAAGGTAAGACATTTCTAGCTGTCGGCGTAATAGAATCTTTCCCTAGCTTTCTCTCAGAGGAGATTTCCAGCAGTCTAACCGCTGGCAAAGCTTCTTGCTGGGCAATAGTAAATCTCGCCTTGGGTAGAGATTTCCCTGTCCTGCCATCAAGCAAGTGATATATCCTGTACTTTCATCTTTATTCGTGATATCTACAGTTGTAGTTTAACATTGGAGAGTCCTACGAATTGGCGAGTGTGTGAGAGAGGAAGAGGGAGAAAGAGGACGAGGGTAGAATGGTGAGAGAGAAAGAGTGAGGGGATGGGAAGGTGAGGGAGAGAGGAAACAGATGGAGGGAAAGTGAAATACATTTGCTGTATAACCACTTCAAACTCAAATTCGATATCAGTCCTAGAATGGAATAGGTCGTCGAATGTTCAGGATTTACGACGGTGCAAATGACAAGTGCATTACCATCATACCAACCGAACAATACTAATAGTTTGACACCTAAGCGTCGGGGTTTCTTTCAAGGACTATTTGATAACCATAGTCTTTCATTCAAAACTATAATGATAATTAGACCGAAGAACACTGATCAAGTGGTTGATCAAATTGACCAGTGTTTATTGGAGGTACCTCAAGGGAATGGTTCGATAGACTTCGATAAATAATCCCAGGAAAAGTCTGCATAGAAAACAAAACGTGAGATGAGAATGACCTTAATACAGATTTGATGTATGGTTTTAATGGTGTTAAAAACATAACTTGCTGTGTTCAACGTTCAAAAAGTATGCCTGGTGGTTCCGTTTTAACAAACCTAGTTTTCATTTGAAATATAAAGTCACCAAGTTTGGTTAACCAAGATTCATGCCTTAGGTTTTGTAAATAAAATAAAATACGCCGACCTTTCCGAAACACTTCGGTCTGCATTAGTGAAGCCGCACTCATCCTAAAGGTACGCATTGTGTGTTCAGGCTGTAACAATTTTGGTGATAAATCTGATATTTGAGTTCATATTTCTTCAATAATTGGGAGAACTTCAGAAATGATATTTTCAATGTTGTAGGGTTTTTTCTGTTAAACAACTATTTCATGATTTAAAGGAAATTTGATTTTATTTGTTCATATTTTGTTTTCTTTTCATGAGTTTTGAGTTTTGCTTAATCTATTTAACCTGGAAGTACTTTCGAATTATTTTTGCAGTAAGCGCTGCTTTCCTATTTCTGTGCCTCCAAACGATCCAATGTTCCACATATGTAAGAGTTTTGCCCGTTCCGCTGCCAGGCCTTCATTGAGTTGCGATCCTAGTACGTATGAAATATTTAAAAATACAATACTACTATTAATGGTATTGATATCAATCGAAAGAAGACATAAAATCAAACAAAGACATAGCATAATTATAATATTTTCTTACTAGCATGAAATGAACATTGTATTACATTAGCGATATGCTTGCAAGATGGTTTTGCATTCTCATGTACAATGTGAACTATTAAAAGTAAACATGTAAATTAATTAGATTATTCAAAAAGTGTGTTCAGTTAGACATATGCTTATTTAGTTATTGACATATATCGACCACTGGTCAATTAGGTATTGACCAATGGCCAGAGGTATGCTATTGTTACTGAATCTACTTCTAATGATCAATGATGTTTATTCCTTCCCTAATTACATACGTTATTACCGAAGCTCTATCCCGGCAGTTCGCCTGAAGGTCAGCGTATACTAATCTTATGGAAAAGTTTATCTATTGTGTACAATTACTTGAGCAACAGTTTCATAACACTTTGGTATAAAGATACCTCTCTTGGTCTGCGAAATAAGAAGAAATGAGAGGAGCGGAGGTCAGACAGGAGAGAGGATGGTTCTCCGTTGGCGGAACACTTTACACGAGAAACTTTACATCTGAATAAAAGTATTTTAAAGGCATGCTTATCGTAAATTCTTACCACATTGTTTACATGTTTTGTGTACATAGTTAAATACATGCAAAGATTAAACGATATTCAACAATGAGTGTTTGCATCAACTATTTCCATCATATCTAGAAAATGACTGGATTTCAACCATACTTCCGTCATGGACTTTTAACATATCAAACATTTAACAAAATTTGATTATTAATGCCGTTACTTTTGAGTTTAGAATTCAATATCACTAATAGAATGGATTAGATTTTTAAAATTTTTGTTCTCAAAGTATTCTTTTCTTTTAAAAAACAGAAAATGGTTAGGATTATATACTGAAAGGATAAAGAAACGCAGGGTAATATTTATTCCGATATTTTGAAAGCGCGTTCTCCAAATAAAGTGAAACTTTGTGGATTGAGTAATTAGGTCATATCACACCTTGTCATGTATCGAAAATTTAGTCACGGTACAGTGCGCAGCTCTGGTAAATGGAAGAAGGGAAAAACAAGAATCTCGTGCACCGTGTTGTTCTGGTCTCATGCAGCGTTGGTCAAGTCACTCTTTGTTAGTCTTTATACAGACCAACTGCTTCCCTAAAATTAATTGAGAATTAGATTCGTTTTAAGAATGGCACGACTCACAGAAGTTCAGAGGGGTCAGGCCATTCAGATGCTGATGCAAGGACAGCTGCAAAATCAGGTTGCTAGGCACTTTGGTGTTAATGGTCTTGTAAGACCTCTTCGGGAAACTGGGCGATTGGCCGATCGACCTAGGTCAGGACGTCCGCGCGTAACGTCACGACGTCAGGATCACTATATCGTCGTCTCTCATGTGCGTAATCGGCGCCTTACCGCCGTTGAGAGTGCACTTAATGTTCGTGGAAATCATGGGCGTCCTATAAGTTCAAAAACTGTCAGGAATCGATTACGAGAAGTTGGTGTAAGAGCACGTCGCCCCTACGTAGGTCCACACCTTACCCCTGCTCGACGTCAGCGTCGTATGGCCTGGGTCGCTGCACATGCTCCACGACGGTTTCCACTGAGGCAGTGGAGACAAGTTTTCTTCACGGACGAGTCTCGATTCTGTCTTTATCGATCTGATGGCCGTCAACGTGTCTACCGACGTCGTGGCGAACGTTTTACGGACGCTAGCGTTGTAGAGAGGGATAGGTTTGGGGGCGGTTCAGTAATGGTGTGGGGAGGAATCTCACACGGGTTAAAATCACAATTGGTTGTTATTGATGGCAATTGAACAGCAGCTTAGTATAGAGATGAGATCCTCCGACCCCATGTTATCCCTTTCTTACAGCAGCATAATCTAACCCTCCAGCAGGATAATGCTAGGCCCCACGTAGCAAGGATTTGCAAAGTCTTTCTGGCCAGCAACAACATTCAACCACTAGATTGGCCGCCATATAGCCCTGATTTGTCCCCGATCGATCATCTTTGGGACCAGTTGGATAGACAGGTTCGAAAGCGCCAGCCACCCCTTGCTACTCGAGAGCAGTTGACCAGAGCTCTGATTGAAGAGTGGGACAACATCCCCATAAGACGGATTAACGCTCTCATGAACTCTATGACAGGATGAATAAGGGCCGTGACCACAGCAAACGGCAGACACACAAGATATTGATGACTCAGTTCAATTTCCATTTCAAAATCCTATGGGTCCATTCAATTTAATCGTTAGTACCTTTAAACCAATTGTCAGATGCAAAATACAGACTTTGGGAATTTTTAAGCTTTAATTTATCTGTACGTATACAAAATTTCGTTTTAAATGAAGTCCGATATCATACTTAATTTCTGGTTTAAAGTTTACCTTGCGTTTCTTTATCCTTTTAGTATAAAAGCAAACGTTTACCAATCTCGACATTAGAGTTTTTAGAATCAATCTGGTGATCATGTTTAATTAACCTTATTGACAAATCTGTTGCATATTAATCCAGAAAAAGGGTCAACAGAATACAACTTAATTGTATTTCCCTTTATTTCGGTTCAAGATATTACCGAAATCAAATGCAGGAATCATACTTACGTACATACATACAAACATACATACATACATACATACATACATACATACATACATACATACATACATACATACATACATACATACATACAAAGAAACGCTATTCACTGCTTCATTTGCGCTATGATATACTTTCTTTTATATTTTGATAAAACGATTAAAATATGAATGTTATCAATATCTTTTAAAACAATAACTTGTTTTCTACTTTAGGTCCTCGACTTCAAATTAACCAGCAGACTTCATACATCGATGGATCAACAATCTATTCGTCATCGTCGGAACAATTGAACATCTTACGTGAAAAAAGATTTGGTAGGTCACGTTGTATATCAAGTTAATATTATCGAGTTACTTTTGATAAAATATATAATTCGATTGCTGCTGGCTATTGTAACATCTTATTTCCTCGTGGCGTTCCAAACATATACATTTTCGATGGCGCTTGCTTTCGTGGATGAATGCTGCTTACGAAATCCACTAGTACTATTTTTATTTGTTTATTATTCTGTGGATATATAAATTCGTGGATTTAGAGCACATATGAAGTCAACGTGAAAATTAAAGATATAACAGTATTTTGTTAAATCTAATAAAAGGAATTAATTTGATTTACTCATTATTAATATTTGACTTTTCAATATTTTGGTCGTGAAGCTAAAATTTTTTTTGATACTGTGTAAACCTGCATTTGCAATATTATTTATGTTTTTTTTTTATTCTGAGTTTATTTGAGCACTTCACAAGAATGTTAACGCTGACCTTATATTCTATGATAACAATACATTTCGACTTGTTTGTTTGAAATTAAAAAAAAAAAAAAAAAAACCCTTGTGAATCCGTCGTTACTTCAAACCTAGGTGGCGATAGAGGTAAACCTGATATAATCGGAAGAAATGTCAAAATCTAGATGGGGAGGTGTACTAGCCCAATGATTCAGTAAATTTTAGAAGAAAGCCAGTTACATATGTATATTGGAATTTGGATTTTTTTTATTCATTTGAGCGAGCCTTTGGCAAACGGAATATTTGTGTCATGTTTCTTAAATAGCAAAGGAAACAGGTGCAAATTAAAGATCCTTGGTATCATTTTATCCATCGTCTTTTATAATATCACATCAAAAATGCTACTTTTCAAGACGTTTCCTCTAAATATTTGGCAGTCACCATTGTGATGCCATAATATATTTTGCGATTGTATGACGTCATTTTATGAATATATTTCGATGTCACAATAGTCTATGTTAGCAAGGAATATGAGCAAAATATTACATGAGCTAATGTGATGAATTTGGTAGCATATCTAACAATACACGAAAGTGAATCTCGATATTTGACATCTAATGACACGTTAATAGGTACATTTGTATACATAGCTATGCTTTGTAGCATAACCTGTGATATTTTGAGCACTTAATAGCCTGTGTTCCTCCGATATCTATTTATATATACTAAACAAAAAAAGAAAGGTAACACTACTCTATTCTGTGATTAATTAATTAACCCCTTCATAAATCCTTACCAATCATGTACGAATAAAGTAATTGATCAATTCTGATAAAACTGCAGTCATGGTTCATTATAAAACTTTGCGTTCAGTTGATTTTATTCAACTGTAAAGGACGTTGGGGTCAATTTCAAAGGTAACACCATTAGTAACGGGTATGGCCACCGTTTGCGAAGTAAACAGCATTGTAGCGTCGTCGCATGGAACTCGTAAACCGGCGGATAATTCGAGGAGAGATGTTGATTTTGACGTTCTCTCACGCGTCGCCCAAGAACGTCCCAGACATGCTCAATCGGTGACAAATCAGGTAATTTAGATGGCCAATCTAACACCTGTACGTTATTCTGCTGCAAGAAAGTTCTGCTGATGCGACTGGTGTGCGCTGGTGCGTTATCCTGTTGAAAAATGCCATGGCGTCTTAAGAATGGCAGAACCACTTATCTTAAAATTTCGTCCCGATATCGAATGCCGGTTGAATTGCCATTTAACACAACAAGCCTGGTACGAGTGCCCCACAAATACCACCCCAAATCATTACACTTCCGCCGCCAAAGCGGTCCCGTTCTGCGACGCAGCAGTTCGCAAAACGCTCCCCTCGTCGCCTCCACACTCTGCGCCTTCCGTCACCGTGTTGCAGACAAAACCTGGACTCATCTGAAAACAGAACATTGATCCATTTTCGTAAGGCCCAACGACGGTGAACACGAGTCCAGTTACGCCGATTATTACGGTGACGTCGCAACAAATTGGGTCCAGTGTAGGGACGCCGCGCTTTCAATTGGTAGGCCCTCAACCTGTTGCGGACTGTTTGGGGAGACACACGACGCTCAAACAATGTCCTTGTAGTCTCTACTGCGGTTACGAATCGATTGCGCAAGTGAATCAATCGTATACGACGGTCATCCCTGGCGGTCGTTTTACGGGGTCGGCCGCTTCGGGGACGATCGGATGTTGACCCAGTTTGGTTTAAACGACTTACCAACTGGCAAATTGTCTTAACACTGTAACCAAAATGCCGTGCAACTCGACGGCGAGACTCCCCAGCCTGGATCATGCCTACAGCCCTTTCTCTCTGTACTTGTGACAGCCGGGGCATAATGATAAAGTTGATAGATAACAAGATTCGGTGATTTCTTAGTCCTATGGATCTAAGGAACAGTTGTCAGTTTGAATGTTTATGAAATTCAAGCGAAGATACAATTTAGTCGCAGAAAACCTCGTGCAGCTCTTTCGCTAATACAGACTTTCACGCTCGAATGATTTTGTAACCCCCTTGGATTTTGTAATGTAAAACATTACCATTTTTTAATATTGCACAAACGTCATTTTGCTTTCACTCTTTTACAGGTATTCGCCAAGGAAACATGTTAACCTTTCTTTTTTTGTTGAGTATATATATATTGAACACTTTTATTTTTATCTAAACAGGTAGACTCCGATTGACGGCCATGAATCTCCCTCTGTCTGGGTCTGCCGATATGTGCATGCTTTCCTCTCCAGGACATCACTGTTTCCTAGCAGGTACACACATATTTACGTTTTAAGTAATTACAAAATACAATAAAAAATATCATCCATATACGAATACCACATGCGACGATAATTTTGAATAAATTATTTTTCGAAATTCGTCTGATTATATTAAAAATGAATGCACGTCACCATTATTAACTGTTAATTGAAGCTTAGCTTTCTCGCACTGTTAATGATACATAACTAATATTCATGTTATTTCAATATTCCATGTTTAATCTTACAATGCTTGCATGTTTAATTTAACATCCCAATCAAGACCAGAATCAAGCATTTGATTTGAAGTGTTATATAATTCTAAATAAACGGCCATAAGAAAGGGATAAATTTCAATATGTAAATGTAAGCCTTGTCGTACACCTACGATAACCTTAATTAGACTTAGATTCCTCGTACTGTAAGTTTGGTATTGCCACCTAAACATGTTTTACTGGTAAATCATAAACATGCTTATACCGCATTTGAAAAGGGCACGTTAAAAAATGACAAATGCTGAAAGATGGCGGGCTTTTAGAATGGTTCTGTTATTTATTGGTTACTGCAGCACCAGAACCAAAGCAGGCATGTTGAGGAACGTCCTAGGTCTTGCATACCTCGCACGATAGTAAAGATAAACTCCATTCGCCACTGCTAAGTTCAGTCGATCGTAGATCCATTTGAATGTCGGCCTATTTTCTAATGTAGCGCCCAAGCGCACATAGCCCAGCTGGTGCAAATCTATCTCCCTTGAAAAATGACAGAACCACTCCAATGGCCTTTAATTTCACAGATATGAAACCAGTTGAGCATGTGTTGGACTATTCCGGAAAAAATTGCTTGGGATCCAAAATGTCAAACTATTGGAAAATATGGTTGCATTGATTTAAGTGTAGCTTAAGTTTCTTCAGAACAACAAGCACAGCATTGTACAAAAATCGTAATGGCTATACCCGATATTGTCATTTTCATTCCCAACTCGTTGATTGATCTTTTTGGTCAACACGTTTTGGTGATTTGATCAAGTATCCATTAAAACACACAGTTAAAGTCAAAGTTTATCTAGAATTTGGAAATGCTTTTTATGAACATTTTAAAATGAAAAAGCGCGTCCCGATCTGTAAATTTCTTTCCCTATCGACTGTGTTTGGCGTTCTTAGATGCCTTAAAACACTTCTACATATACCATGTGTTGTCATTGAAAACATTCCTTAAATGAACAATATCAAGTCCAATATAAGATATGTGTGGTCCCTAACTTATGGCCAAGCGTAAAGAAAGAGACGCTCATGGATTTTTAAAAGTAAAAGATGTATGCATTGAAAATGTGTTGTTTGTGTAAGCACTCATATCTCATTGTAAATATGCAATTTTTCCTAGTTGTAAATATTGATGTGGAGTCATTGTTGTAAACATTTGTTTTATTAAATGCCATTAGAAGTCTACACGTCATTATTCTAGGTGATGGTCGGCGACATGAAGTTCCTAGTCTTACAACGCTGCACGTGATTTTCGCAAGGGAGCATAATCTTTTAGCACGTGGTCTTAGATTAACCAACCCTCATTGGCATGACGAGAGATTGTTTCAGGAAGCGAGACGTATCTTGGGAGCAGAGCTGCAACACATAGCTTTCAATGAATATTTACCTATCGTACTTGGAACTGACGTCATGATAAAATTAGGATTAATTCCAACCGCACAGGGTTACCGCACAGTATATGAAGAAACCATTAACCCGACGACTACATCAAGTTTCAGTACAGCAGCATTCCGTTATGGTCATTCGCAAATTCCTTCCGTTCTTGGACTTATGTCTAAAGATGGGATAATTGTGGACGAAATGCCACTGCATACTCAATTTGACAGACCCGATATATTATTCAATAGGGACGGTTCAGAAAATCTGATGCGGTGGTTGACTAATTCACATCATGAAGAAAACGATAGACTTATTTCGGATAGCGTGCGAAACAATCTTATGCAAAACATGGGTCCGCTAGCAATGGATTTAGCCGCCACAAACATACAACGAGGACGGGACCATGGCATTCCTCCGTATAACTTTTTTAGAGAATGGTGCGGTTTGCGACCGGTTATCCATTTCGGGAAAGGACCAGGTGGACTGAATGATCACGACGATATAGCCAGAATATTTCTATCTAAACTTTACAGGTACATTGTAGATACATTATACTCTACCTTCTGCAATCTCGAAGATTAAACGAAAGACACACAAATGAATTACACCTTTGGAATTAGATATAGAAGAGTCGAGAAATAAATAAAATTACTTGTCACAGCTGTATTGTCTTACTTGGACGAATCAGTTATATCAAAGTCTAAATATTCAACTTGAGGGGCGACAGAAAAAGTAAAAGGTGATCGAAAAAATGTTAAAAGCTAGATGAATTTCGTAACCTTTATATACCTGGTGTTTGTAAGTTGACCACAAGCCTAGAGTCACATGGATATGAAAGAACTTACCATGGACATTTCTATACAGCCCTACAGACGGCTTCATTCCGAAGCTTAAAATATGCTGTAATAGTCGGTCAACATACAAGCACAAATCGGTGGTATATACCCACTAAAACTTCGAATAATGTCCCTCCTTTCAAATTTTAATGACAAATTCCTATCTTGATTTCAGAAATCCAAATGACCTCGATCTCTTCACGGCAGGTGTGTCTGAGAAAAACCTTCCGAACGCAGCTGTTGGACCGACATTTTCTTGTATCATTGCGACACAATTTAATAACTATCAAAGAGGAGACAGATTTTACTATGAGAATGCAAATTTACCGGGAAGTTTTACAGTTGGTAAGTTTGTAAAATAAAATTCTACTATCCGGTGATAAAATAAGCTAGGAAGTTTGGTGGTATGAAACAACTTTCATACATTAAGCCTACGACACATCAAAATTGTTTGCATTTGACATTTGAAGACGCTATATATAATAGTTTGGCAAATGTTTAAATGCCAAAAAAATTCTTTGGTAGATCTTATAACAACCATTCAATTTCAGATGAATCAAAAAAGGATTTCACGAATGCAACGAACATTTCCTATCAGATTAGAACTTCTTGTATTCAACGAAATGGAGTGAAATGCTATAAAAAGAGTATATAGCACATACAGAAATTCGCTTGTTTGTGCATATCTCAGTGAGTAGTCTCCATTCAAGATGTCGACAAAGTATATTGACGAAAGTAACGTGTTAAAATTGATTTTCATGAAATCATTTAACATTCTTGTAATACTAACAAAGATTATAGAATCTCCTATGAACGCCCTCAAAATAATATACAGTACTTCCTTGTGCAATGAGGCGATATTTTCCTTGCAATTGACCTGGATTTCGTTTAGAGCACGTGGCATTGTATAAATCAACGGCAAATGTAATAGGAATGTATAGGACACCTACCCTTCCAGAGTGGTGGATATCTTCGTATAATTCGCAAAGTGTCTACGTGTTAAGAGTTCCATCGATGTAGGATTACAGTCTTATTACCAGTATTACATTGTATTGTTGACTTTATATTTGTAGATCAGTTGAATGAAATAAAAAGGAAAACAACTTTAGCCGCTATTCAGTGTAGAAACTCCCGTATACATTCAACACAACCACAACAGTTCCTGAAACCTGATCACATAAGGTAATACTTTATCAATAATACTCATGCACCCTGTCTTCTACAACACGATAGTCTTATCTATGTTCATCGTTTTCTTCTACAAATACAGTCATTTCAAAAGTTATTAATCATGATTAAAATCATCCTTATTATTACGTTATCTATGAATAGATTTTGCGATGTATGACTGCTGCATGGCATTGATTGTTTTGTAATATTGTTTTATTTCAACATCAATATCATCTTTAATTAACAATAAGCTTATATAAGTAACCGTTGTTGAGCTGAATGTGCTGAAGGGAAACTTATATTGTACAAAAGAAGGGTATGACTCCCCTTGTGACAGAAAAGCAGGGCATAATATAGGAATTAAAGAAACCTTTTAAAACATTCTTTCATTGGGAAGAAATTATTATGAACAAATTTGACCAGAAATATCATGGGGAGAAAGGAAACCATTTTTATGTAAATAGTGGGCCCCAGGCCCCTAGGGCCTGAGGGACGGGCTTAATATTGAATTCTTTATAATCCCTCCTCCTTCGGATGGCAAATTTTCCAAGTTTGATGTGAAGTATGCTGTGATAAATAGGGTTTGATGTTCATAAAAGTCGTAACTGTGATCATCGTTATCATCTTAGGGACAGAACATTGGAACCCAAATGCTTTTTAAATCCTTTTTTTGTAGGCATGATAGGATTTTCTCTAATATCGTGATGCGTGTACCATATTAAGGGGAAAAGGCAAATTAGTTTTACAACACAGTGAAAATATAATCATCGTTGCGGTCAAGTTACTAATGTTGTCCTTTGCGTTTTTCCCCACAGTAATCCAACGATATCCTGTCGTCAGATACCGTCCCTCAATTTGAAATATTGGAGGGATCATAGCCCAACAATTACTATCGTTCCCTTAACTCCGGTGAAATTCCTCCAGGCACCAACATTAATGGTATAACTATGATGACATTCTGGTCAGTAAGGAATTAAACCAGCCTGAATTTTAAAAATGTAAAACGAAAGAAATGTTGAAATACACGCAGTTAGGCAGCAGGTACAATAAGTACATGGTATTTACTTGTTCTATATAAAATGATAAAATGATTTGTCTCATAAATGAGCATCGATTTAATTTGGTGGCACTAGTTTTACTTGGGTAACATGAAGTGTGTCAAATTGATGTGATATTTTGATATGTAGGTATGGTAGAATGTTATACATAATAATAAAAGGTTTTGTTTCAAATTGAAACTTCTGTTTTTCTTAACGTTTTGTTCTTGTAAAGTATAATATGATAATATACCAGAATCTTAATTGAGGTGCTAAATTATTAACATCAGATTTTCCTATACACATCTGATTCCATGCTTGCTTTTGGTCACTGGACGTCAGTGGTATTAAACATTCTCATTTGAGTACAACAGTAACTGATTACATACTTATTAAACTTCATTTCTATCAATATTTGACATACCCATTAAGAGTACATTGTTTCTATCAATATTTGACATACCCATTAGAGTACAGTGTTTCTGTCAATATTTGACATACCCATTAGAGTACAGTACTGTGTTTCTATCAATATTTGACAAACCCATTAGAGAACAGTGTTTCTATCAATATTTGACATACCCATTAGAGTACAGTGTTTCTAACAATATTTTACATACCCATTAGAGTACAGTGTTTCTATCAATATTTGACATACCCATTAGAGTACAGTGTTTCTATCAATATTTGACATACCCATTAGAGTACAGTGTTTCTATCAATATTTGACATACCCATTAGAGTACAGTGTTTCTAACAATATTTGACATACCCATTAGAGTACAGTGTTTCTAACAATATTTGACATACCCATTAGAGTACAGTGTTTCTAACAATATTTGACATACCCATTAGAGTACAGTGTTTCTATCAATATTTGACATACCCATTAGAGTACAGTGTTTCTAACAATATTTGACATACCCATTAGAGTACAGTGTTTCATCAATATTTGACATACCCATTAGAGTACAGTGTTTCTATCAATATTTGACATACCCATTAGAGTACAGTGTTTCTATCAATATTTGACATACCCATTAGAGTACAGTGTTTCTAACAATATTTGACATACCCATTAGAGTACAGTGTTTCTAACAATATTTGACATACCCATTAGAGTACAGTGTTTCTAACAATATTTGACATACCCATTAGAGTACAGTGTTTCTAACAATATTTGACATACCCATTAGAGTACAGTGTTTCATCAATATTTGACATACCCATTAGAGTACAGTGTTTCTATCAATATTTGACATACCCATTAGAGTACAGTGTTTCTGTCAATATTTGACATACCCATTAGAGTACAGTACTGTGTTTCTATCAATATTTGACATACCCATTAGAGTACAGTGTTTCTAACAATATTTGACATACCCATTAGAGTACAATGTTTCTAACAATATTTGACATACCCATAAGAGTACAGTGTTTCTATCAATATTTGACATACCCGTTAGAGTACAGTACAGTGTTTCTAACAATATTTGACATACCCATTAGAGCACAGTACAGTGTTTCTAACAATATTTGACATACCCATTAGAGTACAGTGTTTCTAACAATATTTGACATACCCATTAGAGTACAGTGTTTCTAACAATATTTGACATACCCATTAGAGTACAGTACAGTGTTTCTAACAATATTTGACATACCCATTAGAGTACAGTGTTTCTAACAATATTTGACATACCCATTAGAGTACAGTGTTTCTAACAATATTTGACATACCCATTAGAGTACAGTGTTTCTATCAATATTTGACATACCCATTAGAGTACAGTGTTTCTAACAATATTTGACATACCCATTAGAGTACAATGTTTCTAACAATATTTGACATACCCATTAGAGTACAGTACAGTGTTTCTAACAATATTTGACATACCCATTAGAGTACAGTGTTTCTAACAATATTTGACATACCCATTAGAGTACAGTGTTTCTATCAATATTTGACATACCCATTCGAGTACAGTGTTTCTAACAATATTTGACATACCCATTAGAGTACAGTGTTTCTATCAATATTTGACATACCCATTAGAGTACAGTGTTTCTATCAATATTTGACATACCCATTAGAGTACAGTGCTTCTAACAATATTTGACATACCCATTAGAGTACAGTGTTTCTATCAATATATGACATACCCATTAGAGTACAGTGTTTCTATCAATATTTGACATACCCATTAGAGTACAGTGTTTCTATCAATATTTGACATACCCATTAGAGTACAGTGTTTCTATCAATATATGACATACCCATTAGAGTACAGTGTTTCTATCAATATTTGACATACCCATCAGAGTACAGTGTTTCTAACAATATTTGACATACCCATTAGGATATAAAGCTGTACGTTTGGATGCTCGTTGTAAACCTTGTTCTCACTTGAGAACGTGACATTACATACTTTGATCGGTTTTCATAGCGGAGTGTCGTCGATAAAGCAGAGGACGCTTCATCCTGAACACCCAGTCTTATTCTCATACCTTATTTTATTCTTGGCCAATAAAAAAATTCTCTTCAGGTAATGTATGTGTTACTAATATCTACGGACCCTAGAATATAAAAATTACATGAGTGAATTTTTTTTTGCCTTTTCCATCTCCAGAGTTATACCACTGGTCATTATGATACATTTATATTAACCTTTGGTCCGGAATTCGTGCCAAATCCCTGTGATTCTTCATAGTATCAGTCTACCAAGGTCTTCTGTACACGAGATTTTAAAATTTTGTAATCATCTGTCCAGTTTACAGACCAAGAACACCATAGCATCACCCCAATAACATCTACATCTTTGGAAGGTCAAAGGTCATCCTTGACCACTATTGAAATAAAAATCTTGTCTACATGATATTACTCTTTATTGTGCTTGTTAAATGAACCATATACATAGTGTTTGTTAAATAAACCATATACATAGTGTTTGTTAAATAAACCATATACATAGTGTTTGTTAAATAAACCATATACATAGTGTTTGTTAAATAAACCATATACATAGTGTTTGTTAAATAAACCATATACATAGTGTTTGTTAAATGAACCATATACATAGTGTTTGTTAAATAAACCATATACATAGTGTTTGTTAAATAAACAATATACATAGTGTTTGTTAAATAAACCATATACATAGTGTTTGTTAAATAAACCATATACATAGTGTTTGTTAAATAAACCATATACATAGTGTTTGTTAAATAAACCATATACATAGTGTTTGTTTTATGAACCATATACATAGTGTTTGTTAAATGACCATATACATAGTGTTTGTTAAATGAACCATATACATAGTGTTTGTTAAATAAACCATATACATAGTGTTTGTTAAATAAACAATATACATAGTGTTTGTTAAATGAACCATATACATAGTGTTTGTTAAATGAACCATATACATAGTGTTTGTTAAATGACCATATACATAGTGTTTGTTAAATAAACCATATACATAGTGTTTGTTAAATGAACCATATACATAGTGATGTTAAATAAACCATATACATAGTGTTTGTTAAATAAACCATATACATAGTGTTTGTTAAATAAACAATATATATAGGGTAGAGAAAATCACATTCGCCATAATTATACATATTTTCTATAAGCCAACGACTCGATGCCATCTCCAAGACTTCTACACTAAAAACACATTCATCAATTCTGAAAGAGAAGAAATGCAATCCTGCTTTGTTCTAAATCAGTAAAAAGTATGAATCGCAAAGTGTGTATTTACTTAAAATAAAACTATTTAAAGATACGTGTAGTTATTAACAAGCTAACACAATCCATCATGGACTGAAATGTATGCTGATCCGAAGGTTTCAGATTTGAATTATCTGTTGTAATTGCACCCGAGTTTGGTGTGTATGTTCGTACACCTATTTATTTATTATGTATATTATTCGTGATAAACACTTTACACCATGACAGAAACGTTTAACCGGGTAA